CGAGCGACCCGCGGCCGCACATCATCTTCATCCTGGCGGACGACCAGGGGTTCAGGGACGTGGGGTACCACGGGTCCGAGATCAGGACGCCCACGCTGGACAAGCTGGCTGCCGAAGGGGTCAAACTGGAGAACTACTATGTCCAGCCCATGTGCACGCCGTCCAGAAGCCAATTGATCACTGGAAAGTAAGTTTGCTACTACTTCATCATTTACTGCTCCTGCCTAAACTCTGTCCCTGTCAGAAGGAGCATGGGTGAATCTGGTCGGTTCACCTCCGGGTTATCCTGTGGGCAGAGAGGTGCCTCTCTGTTTCACTTATAAAAGCCTTGAACGAAACAGACTTCCAGTAGGTCTGAAACAGCGCAATAAAGCTGTTGCTCTGTGAGGCAGGAGGGTTCAGCACTGCGAGCTGCCCCGCGCAGCGCTGGAGCACATTCCCGCATACAGCATCACTACCTTACGTGCTCGTTGTCAAGTAACGCTGCCATTGCTGGGGAGCGATCAGCTTCGCTTTGCTGTGCCGTTTCCGAGGGACTCAAGAGTGATCAGCTTCACTTTGCTGTGCCGTTTCCGAGGGACTCAGAGGAGGAGTCACCTCAGGGAACTGCCAGCCTTGTGCTTTCTACTCTGCGTTCTTTGCGGTTGGATCATAGGTCTCACTGATACTGGCTTAATGTGAGTTCTCTGCAGGGATTATCCTGAATTTATGAAGTGGTTCCCCAGTGCTTCATGTAGGGATGAGCTCAGGGAACCCAGACTCTCTCTCAGCATCCCCATAGCTGTAGCATCACTCTTGTCACTTTGCAGTCAAGTTAGAAACTTTTCTCTTAAGCTTCTAAAATACACACTTCACCCAAATGGTGAAAGCAGTGGGTTGGTGCCATGCAGTTTGCTGTAAAATTGTCTTTTTTGTGGTCTGTTAACTAAATGATCAGTTGCCTAACCTCAGGGCCTTCTTACAGCAGAAGGTTAATGAGGATTAAAGGACGGTTTATGCGTCTGAACTGCCGGAATGGTTCCCAAATAGCTCCAAGTGTGGACACATTGACTCTGGAACAAAATCGCCTTGTTTCTGTTTAGCTTAACTCTCTTTGACAGGAACAGGGAACTCTTAAAAGAGCAAAACAAAATGAAAGGAATAAAGTTTATTTTCTCCTTTCCTTAAGCATAAACAGGAACAAGGCAATGTTAATACTGCTGGTAAAAGAAACACATGTTAAATAAAACAAGCAACTGGCCTTGTCCCTTGCATCTCCATATGGTAGAGCCAGAGATAATTCCCAGTGTCAGTCTAGTTCCCAGACTTGCTGGACCAGGGAGGTTTGCTTCAAGAGCTGACACATGAATTCCACACAGGTTTTTGCTTTGGTTTTCCCTTTTTTCTCCTTTGTACTGTTTGTGTCCCAGAAGTTATTTGGAGATGACACCTCACTCACAAGAACACGGTTGCCCTGTGGCAACTAAAGCAGCAGTTTCCAAGGGAAACTTGTATCAGGATAGCATTTAGTGTGTCCTGGTAGTCTTTAAAGACATGCAGCAGTTGGAAGCAAGGACCTCTGCCAGCAGCACGTAGCCAGCAGCTTTCTGAGGACGGTGGTTTGGGAACCAGTGCTTTGCAAAGGGAATGTCATGCTGCACAGGGATGACTCACGCAGCAGCTGGAGCCATGGGATGACTGGGTTCCAGGGGAACCAGGGTGCTGCTTCGGCTCTTGGAGGCTGCAGAGGTTGTCTAAACATGAAAAAGAATGAATGTCAAGAATAGCAGTAACTCAGTTTAACTATTTTGATCCTTCTTCAACTACAGTGCAAAGTAGGCATGCTCGGTGGATCCCAGCTCCTTCCCTCGGCTCGCCAGGCGGAAATGGCTCTGCAAATCTGCCTGCTCTGTCTTTGGAACCTTTTTTAGGAAAAAGAAAAGAGATTTGCTTATACTTCATTTTTATTTTCTTAGTCTGCAGGTCTAAAACCCTTACAGCATTTTTTATGTTGTTCTGCTTTAGGGGAAAAGGAGCCACAGAGAGAAAGGACTGCCTTGCATGACTGAGAAATCAGGGAGGGATTGGTGAGGGGTTAATAGCCTGGGCAGAGTGTTCACAAGGCAGATTCAGAGAACACTGTTTCCATTCTGGCTGAAGATAAATGCTTGTGATAACTGCTTTTAAAGCTTTCTTAGTAGAGGCACCTTAATTAAAATGCCAGGATTCAGAAACTTCTAATCCAGGACAAGTGCTGTTATTTCTTGAGTTCCCAAATGTGTTAGTTCCTGGCTAAAAGCCATCTCATCCAGTGAAGGGTCACCTGGATGCCTCCCAGTACACATCCTATGCTTGATGTAAAGTCTTAGCATAGTTTAGGTTGGAAGGAACCTTTATAGGCCACCTAGACCAACCCCTTGCCATGGCCAGGGATACCTTAAGCTAGAACATGTTCCAAACACGACCTGTTTGATAGGTCAGATCCAGAGGGAATTGTGTAAACCAGGGTAATTAGGGAGCACTGACTCAGGTTGCCAAGTGGAAGTTAGACTTCAGGCAGAGAAACTTCGAATAGCCCAAATTCTTCATAGGTCTCCAGGCAGTCTCTCTAGGGCTTGGGTTAGTAAAGAGACTCTTCTTTTGGTGGCTGTCTTGTGTGTGAATGAGCACAGAGAAGGAGGCTGGAGGTGACATGTTAAAAGGAAGGGGCAGAATTAGCTCTTTTTCCCCTCCATGCTGCACCACAGCATAGCAGCTGGTGAACTTGCCATCCTGACCACTCCTGCTTCCCTCAGTTTGCTTTCTCATGCCTTGTGCATGAGGCTTTGGCTCCTTTCCTTTCTTGCTTTCATCCAGTGTTACTCTGTCCCCATTCACCCCTTCCAAAGGTATTGCTTTCAGGCCACTAGTAAGGCTGGTTTCCACAGCTTTTCAAGTCTGGGTGTGGGGAAGGGGTTGCAGCTGAGCTGAACCTTGGAAACAGAGAAGAAATGTGTGAGCCAGTGGGCTGAGTGCCACGTGTGATGTGCTCCCGATGTGAGGAGGTGAGGATGTCAGCTCTGGGAAGCAGCTGCACAGCTGTGATGGCAGGAGGGACCTGGGCAAGAGGGTGTGCTCTGCCTTGAGAAGTCTCTGGGACAACTCCTGGTCCTGTCTGAGGTCCTACAGCTGCACTGAAAATGGGTTTGGAGCCTTGTCCCTAGTACTGGTTTGACTCAAGAGGTTATTGACCTCTGATAAATTGTATAAAGGCTGTAGACATGTTTGGCATCTGTTTTTTTCTCCCAAAGGATGTGAATAAACATAAGTTGTCCTCCAGATGAATTGCATTGTACGACACAGTATTTTTGTCTTGTTTGCTGTTTGAAATTCACAGGCCTCAATAAACTAAATAATTGAGGCAGAATAGCTCAGGATACCTGGCTTAAAGCTAGTGCTGAGGTGAAACCTAGTTTGAGAACATTAACCTGTTAGAGTGTGTTCAGAGGAGGCCACAAAGCTGACCAGAGATCTGGAGTGCCTCTGCTATGGAGACACGCTGAAAGAGATGGATTTGTTCAGCCTGGAGAAGAGAAGGCTCTGGAGACACCTTAGAGCCCTTTCCAGTGCCTAAAGGGACTGCGAGAGAGCTGGAGAGGGACTTTGGGCAAGGACAAGGAGTAACAACTTCACATTGCCAGAGGGCAGGGGTAGATTAGATATTAGGAAGGAATTCTTCCCTGTGAGGGTGATGAGGCACTGGCACAGGTTGCCCAGAGAAGCTGTGGCTACTCCATCCCTGGCAGTGTTAAGTCCAGACTGGATGGGGCTTGGCACAGCCTGAGCTAGTTGAAGATGTCCCTGCTTATGTTAGGGGTATTGTACTGGATGACCTTTAAAGGTCCCTTCCAACCCAAACCTCTCTCACACAGGCGCTGAGTTAGTGTAAGAGAAGAAATTTGCATGTGTAGCTACATCAGTCATGCTGGAGAATCCTTAAGGTACAGAGAGGCATAAATGTGGTACAGAACTCTGAGAAAATCTAAGATTATTTGTGTGTGAAGTTTTCTGCATGTGCATCAAGTGGATTGAGATGAGGCAGAGTATAAGACAGATTCGTAATGGCCACATGTGGTATCGCTTGTTTAGATAATTCAAGTGGCATTATCATGAAGAGCCATCTCCTTTTTCAGTGAAGAATTATTGAAGTGAATTTAGCGTGGCAAATTTCCCAGAAGTTTCGAAGGTTCGTGACCAAAAGGACAAGTATTCATTTGAGACAAAGGCTATAAGCATAGATGGACATGTGTTGGGGTAGATGCCCCAATTCTATGGAGGACGTCAGGCAATGTAGTGATATTTTCTGGAGCAATAGTTACTTTAGCAAAAGAATTTGAGAAATAAGACTGACAGGGAAGAAAACTAGGAATCTAGCTAGTATATGCCTAGGCAGCAGACACCTACTTTCACTTCCAGACTCCCAGTTTTCTGCTGATTGTCAGACTTGTAGTCTTAGGACCTCTGTATGCACTGGAATCCCTTTGGGCCACAGGAAGGTTCCTCCCCAAAGAGGAGCAGGGATTTCTGCAGAAACTGGTGCACAACTGGGGTTACAGCTCACTGAGGAATCTGAACTCCCTTTCATGAGTCACAGAAGCCTTAGACTAATCTCAGGAATGAGTTTTGCACAATGGATGGAATGTGGGGATGGAAGGTGTTGAGAAATGTTAGAAGTCTGGGGCAATAAATCCTTTTTTCTTCCTCTGGAATGAAACGGAATATGAAGAATTTGCTCATGCGAAGCAGACAAAAATAGGTTGTATAATCACTAAGCATAATCTGAGTGTTATTTTAGCATAAATAATTGTACCTGTTATCTAATTATAGAAATACTGCACCTTTATAAATACGTATAGCTATATGTGTTAGGCAAATAGCTCTAGGCATCCCTGGGTAGCAATACCTCATTCACCATTAAAAATGACAATGGCTCAGCAAACTAAGAGTTATTTTGGCAATGAGTAATCAAGTAAGTCCTTTGAACTGAAAGCAGTGTAGCTGACTTGCAGGCAAACAGGCCTTTACTCTGAGGGATGAGAGGTTTTGTGGTAAGTCTCCTCTCTCCCTGCCTCCTGGGTGCATCCTGGCCCAGCCTGCAGTGGTTCCAGTGGTGTGGTTGCTGGGAGAAGGATCCAGCACAGTGGTGCATGACTGGGAAGTTACCTGCTG